TAAATATGGATTCTACGCTACCTGGCATAAGATGCCTCAACATTGTACCTGGTGTCACCAACCTGGCCATCATCGCAGCGACTGCACCGAATACAAAATGAATCTAATGTGCTACAACTGCCGCCACGTGGGACATATAGCACGTGAATGCCCGCGCCGCATGACCGCCAATAATAATGAGGATACGAACAAGAGACGTAAAACATCAACAGGGAAGCAGCTGGTAACGACTACGGGGACAAAGGCATCCTCTACCGGCAAAGGCAAGGGTAACCGATCTTCAATGAAGAAAACCGCCACTTCCTCCCAGCAACAACCGCAAAGACATGGCTCTGAAACCAACAGTAACACCGAGGTTAGCAACAACGATGCCGGCGCCATAAAGACGACGATGAACAGCAAGTTGACGTCGCTACCAGCAGCGCATCAGACGACGACGACGAGAGACGACTTAATGACGACGATAGCACCATCAACGACAGCGCATCACATGACGACGGGAAGGATAAGGACGATCATGCATCGCACGACGATGAGAAGGATAAGGACGACCATGCATCGCACGACGACGGGAAGGATACGGACGACATTGCATCACACGAAGAAGGAAAGGATACGGAGGACCACGGGCCACCTACAGAGGAGCAACATCACCAAGATGAGAATGACACTTTGGATTCACAACAGATCAGTTCAGTTCTGTCCAACATTATCTCTACCATCGAGGGGACACTACGATGGTCGACGCCACTGCTGTTAGCGAAGACGTCGATTTCGATCTTCAAGACCTTCCTATGACAGAGGCAGCTCGGAAGTCTCTTCGTACTATGTCAGAAGCCAAGAAATTGCGAATCCAAAAAGCACTACTCGTTCAAGCAGCTAAATTGCCCGGTGTGTCGGCCCTGACCAGCCACAGTGCTTACGGTCGTATTCGCAAACCGTCAGCAAAAGCTCTAGATAACATCGCCAGTGGGCAAAAGCCAGCTGGGCGAGGTAACTCCACCAACGTTAAACATCAATGGATAGGAATTTTAATCTAAAATTCCTATCACTCAACTGCAACGGTCTTGCCAAGATCAGCCGACCGTCTGCACGCCAATCACTCATCCGCCACTTGCGGACCACACACCAACCTCACCTTGTGGCTATTCAAGAAAGTCATGCTGACCGCCTTGCTGATCCACAAACCTTCCACCACGAATTCTACGCCCCCAATAGTCTATGGACCCAACACGTCGGACTAGTCTCTTTATCTACTGCTATCAACCTTGAACAACTCGCCATCACACCAGACGAACGCGCTCTGCTCGTCAAAATTACACATTCCTCCGACGTTTTCGAACCTTTCTTCGTCTTGGTTCTTTATGCACCTGCCGACACTGCCATATCTCGTCGCAATTTCTACCGCTCTCTCCTCGAATCACCAGTACTTCAGCTACGCGACTCTGAATTTTGCACCAAGCTTATCATTGCTGGTGATTTCAACTACGACATTACCCGCGCACACTATACGCGCGAAGCACCATTCGAATGGCACGCCCTTTTGGATGAATCATTTTCCGACTGTATCACCAATCGTGACGAATGCTTGCCATTCCCGACCTTTAGGCGTGGCGCGACCACTCATTCTACGATTGACTACATTTATGCTGGCTCGCAATTCCGTGGGTCCACTCAAGACTCGACTGTATCCTACGTGAACCCTGCTTGGACCGATCATGCCGTACTTTCAACCACTTTCCGACTATCCTCCCCCACACATGGGAAAGGATATTGGCGGGGTAACCCATCTGTCACCTTCCACAAAGCTTTTCGTCAATCTCTTGCCAAAACTCTCACCACATTGCATCCGCAACTTGCAGCTTTGCCCACTACCCAAGACAAATGGGAACACCTCAAAGTCAGTGGTGACACGTCATATGCAAAATTACAGCCGTAACCACACACGTTGGCGCCAAAAACAACTGTGCACCTTACAGTCAAAACGAAATCGCTTCTTGCGACATCAACCTTCTCCCGCACTGCGTGCACAAATCCTACCGCCTTTGGAAAAACAAATTTCTGCGCTGCAACAGGAAGAGACTGACATCGCTGCCCTGCGCGCTGGCCAACGATGGCGCGAACACGGTGAAACGTCGGCGGGTTACCTGAAGCGCACTATTCGCCAACGCCAGGATGACCGTACGATCCACCAACTGCAACACCCCACCACGGGCACCATTTACACTGATATCAACGGTATGCAAGATGTTGCCACATCTTTCTATGAGCAACTATACACCCCAACAGACGTCTCAGATGCATCAATACAACACCTGTTGGATAACATTCCTACGGACGTGCATCTGACAAGTGACGACCATACAATCCTCACTGAGGATTTTGACATTGAAGACCTACGTTTGGCAGCCAAGCGTGCACCGAAGCAAAGCAGTCCAGGCCCAGATGGTTTGCCCTATGCTGTTTGGTATCTTGTTTTTCATCACCCTCTGTATGCAACGCTTGTCTGCGATGTGTACAATGACGCTTGCCAACATGCCCGGTATCCGCCCTCTTGGCAGGAAACTTGTGTCACCCTCCTGCCCAAAAAAGGCGACCTGTCTTCTCTTCGCAACTGGCGTCCTATTTCCCTTATCAACTGCGACGCCAAAATCTTCACTCGTCTGCTCAACGCCCGTGTTATTCAAGTTGCTCAACCATTGATAACACCTTTCCAAACTGGTTTCCTCCCTGGTCGTTTCATCGCCGATAACGGGATTTTAGTCCGGATGATGATGGATCAAGCGTCAGGACGGGACAACGATACCAACCTTGCTTTGCTATTGGACAACGAGAAAGCATATGACCTCATCGCGCCAGAATACCTCTCTCGTGTTTTGGAGCGTTTTGGCTTACCCTCCGCAACCATCGACAGTATTCGTTTACTTTTCTTTCGCACCAACATTCATATCAACGTCAACGGTCACATCAGCTCACCTTTCCAACAAAAAAGAGGCCTGCGCCAAGGTGACCCGCTCTCGCCAATATTGTTCAACCTAGCGATCGAACCACTACTACGCTCCGTGCTGGAGGATGAGGTTTTCTGTGGGGTTGACATTGCTCCTAGCAACCCTGGCGTCCATTTTCCTGCTCCACCTCCACCGCTCAAAATTTTGGCTTACGCGGACGATGTATGTGTCTTCCTAAGTCAAGATACTGACTTGGAGCGCCTACATCACCACCTTCACCACTATCAGCTGGCCTCCAATGCTCGTCTCAATGTGCATAAGACTCAAGCCGTATCTTTGTCCGGCAGGCCCCAACCGGAATGGAACCAAACACTCGCTCGCTATGGCTATCCAGCATGCCATGATCGATCGCATCCTGAAGCCGCCGTTTATTTGGGCTTCCCGTTAGCGACCTCAACAGCACAGCATCGTCTCTTCATGGATCGGCTTCTTATCAGTATACGCACGAGTTGTCAACTACATCAACAACGCCAGCTGTCAGTGCGGGGGCGCGCCACCATCCTCAACACATTGTTACTTTCTCGCTTATGGTATGTTTTGCGGTTGACTGGTGCACCTGCTGCGTCATTTTGGACCAAACTACAGACCATCATCTCCGGCTTCCTCTCTCACCGCATGTTTCCTCGCATTGCCCTCTCTCGCCAGCTACTACCAAGAGACCAAGGGGGTCTCCAGATCCTTGATCCACGCACACAACAACACGCTCTTCAATTACGCTGGATTCAGCCACTGATCAATTACCCAAACGGTGCTGCATCGTGTTCCCTGGTGGTCCCCTACATTGCTCACCATCTGCTGAGCATTGGATCAGAACTACCTGACCACCGTTTGCTGCTCGCATTCCCGGAAACACGCCCTCGTTCCCTACAACAACAACCTTCAGCAATCGCATCACTTATTCTTGCTTCAATCGATCGACTCCAACTAGCACCATCATCCATTTATATCCCACCAGCGCTTGTACTCTGTTTGCCTAGTCGCGCAATATGGGACCCCGGTGACAATGCCGAAGTCAAAGACCTGCTCCGTTCGCCAAGCCTCAAGAAACTGAAGGTATCGGATCTGTACGTCTTTGATGCTACTCCTGGTTTATTACGACGACGTCTGCCACAGGACGGCCCCATTCGCCACCCACGTGTCACTCGCCGGTTTTTCGAGGCCATGCAGCATGGCCGCATCATACTGAAATACTTCTTCAGTCGCCTTTGCCTACCTGCATCCCACCCGTTGGCCCAACATAACGGACAGCTCGGCACCACGGATGGTGACGTGATGCGTCCCCTTTTTACAGATCATCTCACGGATCAAGGACTCACCACCCGTAGTTTTCGTCGTCTTTGTTTGAACAATACTTGTGCAACACCACACCACCCGACACTCAATGCTAGTCGTTGGCGTCAATTTCGGCATAGTACGATGCACCATTCAGCCCGCAATGTCTGGTATCGCGCACTTCACAACACGCTTCCCACTGCCAGCCGTCTCCACAGTATTGTACCAGACTTCATGCCAAGCCCGCAATGCCAATTATGTTTAGGTTTCGTTGATACAACTCGTCATTTTCTCGTTGATTGCCCACTTCGGTGGGCCGTATGGAAGGAAGTCTGGGGCTTGGTTTTTTATGCTGAGCCTGATCCCACTCTCCTCCTCAACTTCATCATCAACCTGGACTGGCCCGTTGCCCCTGCGTCCACCACACAACTACGGACCATGGTCGTCCAATCCGTCCTTTTGGCATGCTGGCGTGTCTACTGGAGCTGGATCTTCGACCGCGTCCCTTATACTCACTCAACTGTGGTCTCACTGGCACTGAAGCTGCTTGCCCAGCTGCGCCACCCCAAGATCACTGCCATAGACTAATAAGTCCATTGTCACCCCTCTCCGCCCTCTTTTATTATTTTGTATATTCCTCTTTTTCTCTTATCTCCAACACACCTCTGCTTTGTACGTGTGACTTGGATTAATAAATTTTGGCCTACCGGCTCATACAAAAAAAAAAAAAACTAAAAACCGACGCAGGTCCCGCAGCGGCGAGCATGACACCGTCAGCCCCACGTAATATACCCACTGCAACACCTCCCGGCGCCTGTGCACCAGCGCCGCCGCCGCCAAACAGCGGCCGACGCATCTTTTCGCCTAGCATTACATCCATGAAAGAGATGTTTGACGTTTCTTATGCAGTGCAGCGAATCGCAGAAGAAAAACCACGGCGGAAGAAAAACCTGTCGTCCACAGACAATGCACGTGCCAAGTTCGTCAAAGCGCGCAACGCAGATGATGAGGAGGATACCAACAACGAGGACATGTTGCATCAACGACTGCGACAACAAAATATGAACAAGGCAGATTTACAACAACAAAATGGAGGAGAACAGACGTTACAGGAAGAAGAAATGGAAGAGGTCCGTGCACGGCTCGACAAAGCACTCGCTATCGAGACAGCAGCTCACAATTGGCACCACCGCCTTCACAAGAAAAAGCCAACAAATTACTGGCAAAAGCAACACAGCAGAAAAGGTCCAATAAACTGTTTGAGTTGAGCATTGACAATTCGACAATAATTGGACGACGGCGCAAGCCTACAAAAGCACCGGCAGAAGATAATTGTATTGACAATGACAGCCATACCACTACCACTACTCTTGATAATACTACTGTGGTATAGCAGAGTAACGGCTGGACTCTGAATACACGGAAATGAATTGTGAATAAAAGGAAGTAGGCGATTTACGGGCCTTATCATAGATATGCTATTACAGCTATTCTGATGAAAAATGGAAAGTGGGAGTTCAAAGGATCGGGAATGTTACGTCCGAAAGACCACTTAAGAGATTTCTTTATTATGAAGAAATATTGTAAAAGAAGAGGATAAGATATGAACTGAAGTGATATTGAATGAAAAGAGGGAGACTATCTATACTAATGGGTGTTCCTACGTTTCTAGTTAGACGATTATTAAGTTGCTACTGCTAATGCGATGAAAGCATTTGCTAATGTGGTGGAAGTATCTGCTAAAGCGGTAGAAGCCGTGCCACGCGACATTGGGGATTTACCCAATGAGAGTATGGGGAGATTGAATGTGGAGAGGCGAAAATTAGGTGTGCTGTGAAAAGTAATGACGTTTATTAAAAAAAGGTTCTGATTTGCACTACACTACCATCCACAACCAGTACTACTGCTAATACATACTTCTGCTACTGGCACGGACGCCCTGAACAACGTGATATCTCCCCATACAACTATACACCCTCCTACTCTTCCCCAAAGGTTAAACTCTTTACCACATTCCTATTCCTACTTTGTTTCAAACGCTTCATATACCATCATCACCATTGTATCATCTGACGTCAAACACTTTCGGACTTGTTCTTCCTTTCCTTTCCCAACTCATGTTCGCACAAGAATCTATATATAATTTCTTTTTGGTATTTAATCGTTTTTTGTTGTTGTTGCAAAATAGTTAGTAAAAGAGCATCTTGATTAAACACATGTGTGGAGATAGTGATGTGTCATCAACACAGATCAAGATCTAGCAAAAGAGCGTGTGATAGAGAAGATTAGGTGCTCTTTAATACCGTAAGGAGACGACAAGCAATTGACAGCTGCTATGATTTTTCGTTACGCGACGGTAGATCGATGAGGGAGCGTTTATCAGAATTTGAGGCTATAGCCTGCATCATTGTGTTGCATGAATTGCACAGGCTGACCCAACGGGAACGATTGGGCCACTTCGTCTTAATGCATGGCAACATGAATAACAACAAAAAAGTCTGGCAATTGTCATGATATAGTGAATAGAAACATCAACAGTTGTCCAAGTTTCAAGCTGACGCTCTACTGATTTTGTTATCTAATGGTTTCGTATTTAACATCAATGGTGTTATCTTGTGAACGAGACTAGCGGTAGGCCAGAAGCTGCACTCCATCATTATACACAAAGGGTATCAGCTTGTGGCCTGTCGGATTTATGATATTATAGTGTCACCTGATATGAGACTGTTCAATGGTTAGGCACATGACAACGCTGTTGTTTGGAAACGCAATTTTTGTTTCCTTGGTTCCTTCTCTTTTCGCTATTTCAAGCATGAACTCTTCAAGCGTGTCAAAGCTTAGCAACCTCAGCCAAAGCAATCGAGACACTAGCGAAGAAAGGATCTTTGCAAGTAAGCTATACGAAAAATGTTTGAATTTACTCCATCGTGCTTATCCAGCGTTTATAGGATTCAAAGATTATTTTGACGCAGAAAAGGAGGACAAGCCAAGTCTCCGTGGCTTTTCTCATTTCGACTTGTCTTTCTTCTGTTCTTGCTCTCCAAGTGACCCTTCCCAATTCAAAGCAGTATGGTCAAAAAGGTTCAAAACAGCCGTGCAACAGCACAATATTAGAGTGAGTGAACGATCAGCGTAAAACAGTCAGCTACCAGCTAACACAGCAACGGCAGCCAAAGCGCCGGTTGTCATAGTAAAAATGTGTAGGAGAAAAATCAAGATGGCCCGTATAGCTAATACTTATCACTATAGAATTATGCCAAGCACCAACCGGATTGGAGAACAATCCAAGCGCTTATTGACCTAAGAGTAATTTGAAGAGCAAAAAGAGCAAAAGAGGTTCGCAAAACATTGATCTAAAATTGTTGCAACTTGTTAGAAGGAGTCTCGTGTGGAGTCACCCAGTGACACGCCATCAAAGCAATCAGGAACAACGGTTTCGTCCTCGTTTTTGGACTTTGTCCGAAACCAACACCAGACGCTTAAAGGACCAAAGTGGATTCTTTCCACTGGTACCTGCGTGGAGGACAAAATTCTTGAATTTGCGATGAAATGTCAATATGAGCAGTAAGTTTTCAATACTTGTAAATGCCCCATATATAACGAAAACGACTTTTCATGTCTGATACCTAAGCTCTATATATAGTGCTTGTCATGCAATGATTATAGATGTGAATGATCCTTCTTGGTCTGAATACTTCACCGGTGATGAACTTGAAGAAATCAGCAATCACAATAATCCAGCACTACCAAAAGTGTCAGAGAAGGTCAAGAACCATCTCGACCTCTTCCGCACCTTCGACGCAAGCAAAAATCCCAATGGCAAGGTGAGACAACCTGGGAACTATCTAAGTACGTGATATCGACATACTGACGTACATACGTAATATCATTACAGACTGCCGAAGAGTTGATGGCTTATCAAGTCAACAATACCGGGCTTGACCACACGGGGGATATACTAATACTTTTCGATTTTAATAAAATTTAATGCTTGTTATATATTCTATGATTGTTATAAATTGAATTTAAACTCAATTACTTTTTTTATAAAAATTGAATTTTTATTTATTATATTGAGTAGCACTCAAAATATAAACAAATTATAATTATTTTATAAATTTTTGACATTTGTCTAAGGCTATAAGGTTCTTCCTGATTGCAGATAATACTGTTAAGAGACCTGTTTCATTGATATTATTGTTTATATTCTATTATCACTTACAAAAAAATGGCTACTACTACTAATATAAAAGATCCAATGGAAATTTCAGATAATTATGAATATAATATAAAGTTAGAAGCTGAAAAAATAATAAACCAATATTGGGGATTCTTAAATGAAAATTGGAAAATTATTAATTACAAATATAAACATCGTACTGAAATAAAAAAAATAAATAATATAGATAAAATTAAAAATGAATTAAAAAATAAGTTAGGATATACTACAGTATTCTTTTTTTTAAATGTATTGTATTCAAATATTGAATATCCAGGACCATATAATGAAATCGAAAAAGGTTTATTTTTACTATATCATTTAGTTTCAGGTAAATCAGGAAAAGATAATATAGAAAGATATCTACCTTATAGTTCATTTTATGATTTTTATAAGAAATTTTGGATGTTTGAAGAAATTATACTAGAATAAATAAAATTTTGAATAATTGTTATAAAAACATGTTTTCATCTATCTTATTAAGATTATATAGTTCAAAAAAAATAATCCAGAATTATTCAAGCATATTACTTTAATTATTGATGGACATGATTCTCGTATTCAATATGTTGATACAGATATAAAAAAAGAAAGATTATATTCATATAAATTAAAAAAGAGAGGTTTGCGTACACAGATTATTACTGATATTAATGATATGATTTTATTTATTTCTAATAGTGATTATTGCGCTGATAGTTCAGATGGATCAATGTTTTTAAATATGAATTATATAAAAAAATACATAGTCATGATGTTTTAGCAATGGATGGAGGTTATGCATTATTTATTAATAAATTTATTGATTTAGCTAAAATAAAAGACATTGAATTTTCAAATAATAATTTTGTATTTCCAATCCACAAAGAAAATAAAGTTAATCTAACAGAACCAGAAAAACATTTTAATAATGTATTTGGTAGTTTCCGTTCTAAAGTAGAAAATCAATTCGCTGAAATAGGTAATAAATTCAAAAGGTTTAATAATAATAGTGCTGTAGTAAGAATGAATAATACTAAATTTTATAATTTACAATTTAGGGTTGCTTGTTTACTTAAAAATATACAAAAATTCGCTGAATTATTTAATGTTCCTATTTTACCTCATCATAAACTTTGGGAAACTAATTGTTTTGAATTCCCCTCTGAAAAAAAATTAATAGATATAGTAATTACAAATGAAGAAATAAATAAACAAAAGTTAAATGAAATGATAAATATACAAGATAAATTATTAGCTCTAAATATAGGTAATAGTAATATAAATAATGAATATAGTGATGATGAAATACAAGAGAACCAAGATATTAATGATTCAAGTGAAGATGATATTCCTAAATTTAATGAAAAAAAAAGAAAACGTAAGAATAAAGGAAAACAATCAATAAAAACTTATGAAGTTGAAAATAATAGATATAAATATGAAAATAATAAGTATTTATTTTTGGTTAAATGGAAATATTATGATGAAAATGAAAATACATGGATTCCTTATAATAATTTTAATGAGAAAGAAATAATTAATAAATATTTAGATCAAAGTCATATACAAATATGATAAAATATAAGATAATGGTCATAATAATAATTAATTAAAGAATGATTTTCATAAAAACTAAAAATGTTTAATAATTTAATGATTTTGATATACCGCCATAGCTAATACTTATCACTATAGAATTATGCCAAGCACCAACCGGATTAGAGAACAATCCAAGCGCTTATTGACCTAAGAGTAATTTGAAGAGCAAAAAGAGCAAAAGAGGTTCGCAAAACATTGATCTAAAATTGTTGCAACTTGTTAGAAGGAGTCTCGTGTGGAGTCACCCAGTGACACGCCATCAAAGCAATCAGGAACAACGGTTTCGTCCTCGTTTTTGGACTTTGTCCGAAACCAACACCAGACGCTTAAAGGACCAAAGTGGATTCTTTCCACTGGTACCTGCGTGGAGGACAAAATTCTTGAATTCACGATGAAATGTCAATATGAGCAGTAAGTTTTCAATACTTGTAAATGCCCCATATATAACGAAAACGACTTTTCATGTCTGATACCTAAGCTCTATATATAGTGCTTGTCATGCAATGATTATAGATGTGAATGATCCTTCTTGGTCTGAATACTTCACCGGTGATGAACTTGAAGAAATCAGCAATCACAATAATCCAGCACTACCAAAAGTGTCAGAGAAGGTCAAGAACCATCTCGACCTCTTCCGCACCTTCGACGCAAGCAAAAATCCCAATGGCAAGGTGAGACAACCTGGGAACTATCTATCTAAGTACGTGATATCGACATACTGACGTACATACGTAATATCATTACAGACTACCGAAGAGTTGATGGCTTATCAAGTCAACAATACCGGGCTTGACTACAAGGAGGATTTTGATCTGATTGGGATCAACAACAGCATCGCCCAAGCAACGGAATTGTATCGATGGGCCTACTTCCCGTTAACCGATCATTCCGAGGGTGATCTTTTGCGCCGTGTCTGGCAATTTGTAGACACTTGCTTTGATGATCAGAAAATACAAGTTCGAGGGTAAGTGAAGTAATGAGAACATGGAGCTTAATACTAAATGATGGTCGAATAATAGTGGGGAGAAAACAAGCGCTGCGTCCGCATTACGCAAGAATGAAGGTCGTAACAACGCTGGTGTGGAAGCCATGACCCGTAAAGCATTGGGTCACCGTGGTGACTTGATTTTTGTCAAGTCAGGGCTTGAATTGGGCTGTGGTGAGCTCGGCCGGTACGACCGTGGGCCAAAAGGGTCGAAGGAGATGCGTGAGGGGTTCCTAAAGACCCCAAAGATGATGAAAGATGAGTTGTGCGCGCTCATTGCCAAGTGTCCCGACCAAGTTGCCAAGTTGAGGATTGTTGGATTTATCTCAATGGGTAATTTGGAAACTTGTTTAATCTATATCTAATGATTTGCACGATTCTAATCCATCATGTTTCAGGGCTTACATTGCAGATGCTTATCATGGACTGCCCCAAGGGCAATGTTTGAGGACCGGCCATAGTTATGATAGTTTTAATGCGATCTAATAGCCATATATAGTTTATAAGCTAAGGTATGCTAGGATAGCCAAAGTAATTTTTATTAAAATAATTTATTCACAAATGTCTTAGCATGCATAATTTAAAAATTTCAAAAAAATAAAAATCGAATTTTGAATAAATATAAAAAGAACATCCTACAATGATTCAACCACCTGCAAATGATGTTGTATTTAATAATGATAAAATTGTTATTGATACAAAAAAATTACAAAATTATTTATCTAAATATAATATTAATATAAAAAACTTTTGTGAAGAAAATATACATGAAAAATATAATATTGAATATATAGAGAAAAAAAATAAATTAAATATTAAAAGAAAAGCGTCTGAAAAACAAAAATCAGCGTCCAAATCAAATTTAAAAAATTCTAATAATCAAAAATATAATAATAATATAATTAAAAAAGTTGGGAATCTAAGAAAAGAGAATTATGAACTAAAAAAGAAATGTAACATATATGATAATTATTACGAAAAAATAAATGAAGAAGATTTAAAAAATAAAAATTCTCAGGAAGAATTAACAAATAAGGAGGAGATGTCTTATGAAAATTCTCAGGAATCCTCAATTCCTCATATTTCCGAAGCAATGTTAGATGGTAACACCTCTAGTGCGGTTACCTCACAGGGTGGACTAATTAATAGTGAAGATGAGGAATGTCAATTTTATTGCTTAGAGCTATGTGATGATTGTAATGAAAAATTATGGAATACATATCAATGTAACTTTGCAAATAGGGATCCGTATCAGAACCGTAGAACCGGAACCGAACCGAACCGAAACCGAGAAAATACGGTTCGGTTCCTGTCAAGAACCGAACCGGAACCGAACCGGTTCTGTATAAGTAGAACCGAAGAACCGAGAGGCAGAAGATTGCAATCAGCGATTTTGGTAATTAGTATAAAGTAGGCTATAATGGAAGTTACGAACAATGTTATTCCGAAAAGACCACGAAGTAGTGTATTTGCAAGCCATACTTTATTGAAAACTTAACAAAACCTGCAAAAGCAGAAGGGAGTAAAAAATAGTAAAGAAGAGAAGAGCAAAAAAATAAAAAAACACTTCTTCTGACAGCAGCTTGCTTTCTCCGCCCATGACGCACATCATTACTTGTTCCTCTACTTTGCTACCCACAATGCATTTTTCTCCATGACGTACTACTTTACTAGATTTATCATGGCTTCTCGATCAGTTTTATCAAGTTTGTGCATTCCATCTGAGATTGTGCATCCTGGGGCCCATAACAGAATTATCTTACCCATTCACCCTTTGCCTTTTATGAGACACTATACACTATACACACATAGAGACACAGCAGCTGTATGTACTGCCGGTTGTGGTTCAATTCCTCCAATGTTACGATAACATATTGTACTAGTAATACTAAGTCGCTCTAAGTAAGTACTATAAGCTCCACTTTTTTTTGTAAAAACTGTGCTTCAATCTTTTAACCATGCAATGACCCACATCGTATGAGAATGTTTACATTCTGTTTCTCTTATTCATTTTGAGATCGCTGTTCAATGTACAATAATAAACTATTCTTTTTTTACTGCAGTATTCAAGT